TTGATGGGGGGTGGGAGGGAGGGGAGGGTGGGTGATGGGTATTGAGGAGGGCACCTTTTGGGATGAGCACTGGGTGTTGTATGGAAACCAATTTGACAATAAACTTCATATATTGGAAAAAAATAAATAAAAAATAAATAGCTGCTACAAAGTATGACACTAAAGATCGTCCACATATATCAAACACAATAACCAAGCCAGTTTTTATTTAGCCTTCATTTTCCCTGGGTAAATAGTCCAATTCCCTTAATGTCTTTCAAAAGATACACTTCTCTCCTAGCCCTACCCCACCACGCTCATTTCTTACTCCCCCCAGTCACTTTTCTCCCTCTTACTTGAACTTAAATAAATATAACACTACAGTAAAATCTATGCAAAAAAAAAAAAAAATAGTGAAAGAATTGTTTCTAAGCTCTCATAAGTAAGTCTCATTGCTTGTAATCATTCCAGTAAAACGTGCTATGATTTTTTTTCTCCTCACGACTTCACTGCTGATTCATATTTAGTTTACTACCAATCCTGAAGGTGTATCACATCCTGTAATTCTTCTCTCCAGCTACTTTCCAACATGTACACCCAGCCTTTACATGTCATCTAAGTGTACACATCGATTTTCCAGTTCCAATGGTTCCGTGCCTGGGTGTGTACTGAAGAACAACAAAAAGGTGGCGCCACACAAAAACGCACACACCGATGTTCACAGCAGCATTATTCAGTATGGCCCAGAGCGCAAACAACCCAAATGTCCGTCAACTGGTAAGTTAAATTTAGCACACCCATACAATCGAATATTATTTGACCACTTAAAAATGTGAAATATAGGGGTGCCTGGGTGGCTCAGTCAGTTGAGCATCCAGTTTCGGCTCAAGCCATGATCTCACGGTTCGCAAGTTCGTATTAGGCTCTGTGCTGACAGCTCAGTGCCTGGAGCCTGCTTCAGATAAGATTGGTGTGTTAGGCTCTGTGTGTGGGTGACTCGGTGGTGCCTGGTGACCTGTTCGTCTCCTACCACTCTGTCTCTGTCCTTGCCCTTTCCGAAATTACCTCTCTTTCTCTCAAAAACAAATAATCAGTAAAAAATAAATAAATAAATAAAAACAACAAAAAAACAACAACTAACAATAAATAAATTAAAAAAAATAAACAACAAAATAGAACATACAGGTGGCTCAGTCTGATTGTGACTTTTGTTTTAATTCAGGTCATGATATCATAGTTCATGGGTTTGTGAGGCTCCCATGTTGGGTCGGGCTCTGTGCTGACAGACCTGGACACCAGATTCTGTGTCTTCCTCTTCTCTCTGCCCCTCCCCTCTGGTTCTTCCTCTGTCTCTCTCTTCAAAATAAACAAACTTATTAAAAACTTTCTTTAAAAAAATAAAATGAAAATAAATTAGGAAAATAAAATATATGAGGAAGATGATAAGATGTTACACTACCTAACACAACACAGTAAACTCTGAGATTATGTACTGCTACAAGTAAAAAAAGTCAGTCTACACACACAAAAAAAAACACATAATATTCCAAGTATGAAAATGTTAACAGAATAAGAGGGGAGAAACCACAGCGGGACAGAGTTACATGGGACGGACCATTTAAATATCAACGTGATCGCATATGCACATTATATTGCGATGTAAAACGAGACAGAAAAACAGATCAGTGGTTGCCCTTGGAGGAAAACGGGGGGCAATAGGAACGACAGCCAAAGCACAGGGCGCTAAAATTGCGCCTTTTGGTCTTTCTGAGGTAATGCAAATGTTGTAAAATTGACTGTAATGTGTACAGGAATGACTTATTTATTTTTAATTTATTTAAACTAAAAAAACAAAAACAAGAAAGTTCACTACTTCCCCGCACCCGGCAACCACCAATCTGTTCACTATGAGCTTCATTTTTAAAATATATGTATTTTTCAGGTTATTTTCAGATCAACATGTAAGGGGGAGTGAGATCATAGTGGTTATTTTAATTCTCTCTTTTCTCTGTCTGACTTGTTTCATACTTGGCATGATGCCCTTTGAGGTCCATCCATCCATGTCCCAAAGGTGATGACGGGATTTCATTCTTTTTTCGTGCCTGAATAATACTGCATCATCATATATATACCATATATATATATATATATATATATACATACATATATATACACACACATATATATACATATATATATACATATATATATATATAAATAACACAACTTCTTTAAGAGAGTGAACTGTATTTTTATCTCAATAAGGCTATTACAAAAAAAAAAAAACAAAAAACCTCAACTTGTTTTTTGCCCTATATGCCATACCACCCCATTTTCTCTGTTTCAAGGTTACCCTGACAGAAAAATCCTGGGGAAAATTATCAGAGAGGAGATGAAAAAATAT